TTATCTCTCCCCCACACCCCCTCCTCTGGGGATAGTCAGTCTGTACCCCCCTTCCACGTCTCTGGGACTACTCCATTCCTCAGACTGTTATGTTCATTATATTCCACAAATAAGTGAGATCATATGATACTTGTCTTTCTCTGTTTGGCTTGTTTCGCTTAAGATAACACTTTCCAGGTCCCACCATGTCTTCTCAAAGGATAACAGATTTTTCTTTCTTACAGCTGCATAGTACTCCATTGTGTATATGTACCACAGCTTTTTTATCCATTCATCTACTGATGGACATTTGAGCTGTTTCCAGAATTTAGCTATTGTAAATAGTGCTGCTACAAATATGGGGGTACATATATTCTTTCAGACTGGTGTTTCAGGCTTCTTAGGGTATATTTCTAGAAGTGGGATCACTGGGTCAAATGAAAGTTTAATTTTTAATTGTTTGAGATAACACCATAATGTTTTCCATAGTGGCTGCACCAGTCTGCATTATCACCAGCAGTGTACTAGAGTCCCTGTTTCAATCCTCACCAACACTTGTTATTTGATGATTTGTTGATGGCGGCCATTCTGACAGGTATGAAGTGATACCTCACAGTTGTTTTGATTTGCATCTCTCTGATGATTAGTGTTATTTGTGGCATATAATGAACTAAACAAACTGATAAACAAAATTGGCCCAGAGACGTAGAGGTAGAGTACAGACTGACAAACCTCAGAAGAGGAGGTATTGGGGAGGAAGAGATAAACCACAGAACTTATATGCATGTTTCCATAACCAATGGACATAGACAACAAAGCTGAGGATGGGGTGGGGGAGATGGGGAGGAGGATATCAATGGGGGGGGAGAAACACTTGTAACAAAAACAAATTAATAAAAATAATTTTAAAATAAATAAATCTGAAGGAAAAAAAACTCATAGACACAGACAACAATATGGTGATTACCAGAGGGAAATGGGTAAGGGAAGGTAGAAGGCAAAAGGGGAATAAACGGAGATGGAAGGAGACTTAACTTGGGGTGGTTGACCCACAATACAATATACAGATGATGTATTATAGAATTGTAGACCTGAAACCTGTATAATTATATTACACAATGTCATCCCAATAAATTCAACAAAAACTATTTATATTTTCATCTAATTAATTTATTTATTTTTGTTACAGATGTTTCTCCTTTTTCTCTCACTGATACTCCCACCCCCTCCCTCCCCGCCCTGTCCCCAGCTTTGTTGTCCATGTCCATTGTTCATCCATACATGCATATAAGTTCTGTCGTTTATCTCCCCACCCCCACCCCTTTACTGGGGAATGTCAGTCTGTACCCCACTTCCAAGTCTCTGGGACTACCCCCTTCCTCAGACTGTTATGTTCATTATATTCCACAAATAAGTGAGATCATGTGATATTTGTCTTTCTCTGCTTGGCTTGTTTCACTTAGGATAATACTCTCTAGGTCCATCCATTACCTTACACCTGTCAGAATGGCCACCATCAACAAATCATCAAACAACAATTGTTGGCGAGGGTGTGGAGAAAAGGGGATTCTAGTACACTGCTGGTGGGAATGCAGACTGGTGCAGCCACTATGGAAAACATTATGGTGTACCTCAAACAACTAAAAATTGAACTGCCATTTGACCCAATGATCCCACTTCTAGGAATATACCCTAAGAAGCCTGAAACACCAATCAGAAAGAATATATGTACCCCCATGTTCATAGCAGCACTATTTACAATAGCTAAGATTTGAAAACAACCCAAATGTCCATCAGTAGATGAATGGATAAAAAAGCCGTGGTACATATACACAATGGAGTATTATGCAGCTGTAAGAAAGAAAGATCTCAACAAAAACTATTTAAAATGAATAAATAATCAAGGTCTCTTTATTGACTAGAAATAGAAATCAGAAACTCATGTAAACAGATAACTTTTTGTACAGATTTCTGACTAAACCAATTTTTTTCTGTGTAGAGGAATAAATACAGAAATGTCCCCGGTAATTATTTATTTGACCTGAAGTGGGCACTGTTGCTTTGGTTGACAAGAGTTGCAAAAGACTGTCTTGTTCAAGAAACTGCTAATTCATACACTAAAAAAAAAAAAAAAAAAAAAAAAAAACCTGTAACAAAAACTCCTTTATCTGAAGGGTCTAGGTCAAATTTCCAGACTCCAGAATCAAATCCTTCATGGGTTTGGGAAGACCAAGACATGGAGGAGCTGCTAGGAGCCACATTTCTGATCTGGCAGTCAGATGTGAGCTGGTAGAATTTATGTCAGCAGCAACCCAGATGACAGAATGGATTCTGAAAACTAGTCTCTATCTCTTATAGAAGAGACTCAAAGAACAAATAAAAATTTTAATTCAACTTTTAACATTATCCTTTAAAGAAAATTAACCAAAAATGAAGTAAGGGAATAATCCTTCCTAAATGACCATCTAAGGAGAATTTTATTATCTGGTATATTTATTTGAACAGGATTTCAGATCCATGGGTACAAGATGGAAAGAATGTAGAATAAATCATGTGCCTTTGTTTCCATTCTAGTTAAATAAAATTTGGAGTAGAAAAGACAGTTAGCAGCTTCTTTCCGTGTTAGTCCCAGGTCCTCCCCTTCCTCACATTAAGCCTCTCCAGTCAAGAGACTCAGCCACCACCTCTGTGTCAAAGGGAATACATGTTCCAAAGAGCACTCAAATGTACTGGACCTCATTCTATGCATGGGGACCCCCACTTAGGAGTTAGTAAACAACATCCATCACCTCTGATAAAATAAAATTATACACAAATATAATCAATATGAATAAAAGCTTTTAAAAGTTTTTTGTTCACTGTATCTTCACAAAAAGAATTGAGAGTCATAAGAACACTAAACAATAGATGCCTGGGGTGATCAGGACTAGACCCCTCAGTGTCCCATAGTCAAGATCCATCCAATAAGAAGGAATTTCTTGACATCTGAAACAGCTTCACCCACTTGTGGCTTTAATTGTTGATGTGCCTTCGTTTTTGCCTCTGTAGAAGTTCTCCCTTGGCAATACGGTAGTAGGCACGTGATGTTCACATATTTTCCTCCCCAGTTTTACTTTTTATAGCCTAACCTGCTAACTTCCATAGGAAATCCTATGACAGTACCTGCCAGATACTGTTGATATTTCAAAGGAACACACTGGAAACTCTCAGACTGCTCGGATAGGGTACTGTTTTCCCTACTTTCTCTTCTCTCTTTCTTCACCCTTATTTTCTCCTTAATGCCCTCTAATCTGACTTTGCTCATCACCTTCTACAGACTTTCTAAATAACCCAACCCAAGAAAGTACTTTCACTACTACTAAATCTCCCAAAACACAACTATGGGCATAATTTTTTTTATTAAAGGAAAAGTTTGCCTACTTGAAATTTCTTTCATATATCATCTTATTAGACTTTCAGAGTTCAGCAACTTGATTAACTATCTGTGAGAGGTAGGCACTAATTAGATGGTGTATATAAGATAATCAAGTTGCTTGGCTGGGCCCAGAGGATTGGGAAATGATCTAAGCTGAGGATGGACCCTCTGGCTTAGGCTCCCAAAGTGCATTATGGACACAGTGACTGCAGGTAAGAGGGAGGAAACACTGACTCCTGAGAGCCTCATTTGTGAACTTATAGTTTCAGCTGGACTGAGATGGAAAGAAAAGACAGATCCATCATCTAGAGTTTCCTACAGAACTGAAGAAGACAGGAGGAAATTAGAAAGTAATAACATTTTTACCAATATCATGTGACTCTCACCAAAAATGATAGACATGGCAAAAACTGAATCACTGTGCAAACAACAGAAAGAACTGTGCTATCTACAGCAACTCTCCAAGTTGTATTGTGAGAAGTCCTCTGGAGTTCCGTGGTCCATGGCAAAATGCCAATTGTTTACCATGTTCTCCAAGTGGAAATAATAAACAGGTTGGGAAAGTTAAGGCCACCACTCCCTATATGACCAACCAGCTTTTAATGTAGTCTTTTCTTCTTCTCTTATGCAGGGGGTGGGGGGAGTTTACATAAAGGTGGACCATAGAGATGGCCTTATCTAAATATGGATGACAAATCTCAGTAGGAAGAGAAAATTAATGCAAATGAGACTAGTGTGTCCTTACATTGTGAATTTTTATTTTTGTGCAATTGCCTCTTATTAAAATGAAAACTACAATTCCTGACCTTTCTCCTCTCACAAGAAAGTGGTGAGGAAAATGAGATGCCAATGGATCTCTGTCAGATATGTATCTCAAAATGTTCCCAGATAAATTGCATATTAATTGTTCTGATGATTCATTCAAAAGCCATGAAAAGATGTGCACCAGGGCTCTTACAGGAACATTTGCCACTGGTATTGTATAGTCATAGAGCTCCCTGACTCAACCCAAGCCAAGTGTTCTTAAAAAATCTTCAACTAAATTCTACTTTTAATTTTCTCCAGACAGTGTTGCTATTTCTTTACCATTAAAGTATTGAGAAATGGTTAAAATAAAGAGTTGGGAAAAGAATAATAGTGCAATCAAAACCTGTCAGTGGCAACACAGAGACCATTATGATATTGGCTTTAACACAAAAGAGAGGGAGGGAGGAAAAGAGAGAGAGAGACAAAGAGAGAGAGAGAGAAGTGAACAAAGGAAAAAAAAAAGAAAGCTTAAAGAGAAAACCAAATACTTCCATCAATTTAGTTCCCTCTTTCCCACCCATCCCATTCTCCTTTCCAAGATTGCATCTTTACAAAAACAATGTACTGGCTCCTTTTGTGGATAATAATCCCAGAATAAATTAAAGTTTTAATATCTTTTTCCTTTGGTGTTATATCCAAACTTTCATTCTCTGAAGCAAAAGACAAAAGGCATTGATAAACATTTTTTAAGCAAGGCATAATCAACAGCCCACCTGACATAACCATTTCCTGTTCTGCTTCAGTGATATCACTGAGTACAGATGACACCCAACTTTCAGATCAGAACAAGATACTTTTCCCCTGCTGAAGAGAGCTGCCAGCATGGCATGCCCCGGTGTGCTGTGGGCATTCGTGGTCTCCACCTGTCTTGGTAAGGAAGGAACATGTATTTGCTTTTCCAATCTCCAGTACAAATGGAAAGTAGGAAAAAAAGATTAGTAACACAGGGATCTTACCTCCTCATTGGTACCAGCTATGGGAAGCAAAAATGCTGATGGATTTCGCCTGAAGTTTGGATTAGGAGGAGGAAAGGTGGGTGGGGATGGAACCAGCTGTGAGCGTGCCTGCTTTATCTCTCTGGTGTCATACCCCAGTGCAGTCCTTTCTGTCTCCTTTCCCACAGGATCCAGCATGACCCAGACGGTCACTCAGCCTCAACCTGAAGTGTCCGTGCAGGAGGCAGAGACTGTGACCCTGGCCTGTACATATGACACTAGTGACAGTCAGTATTCTTTGTTCTGGTACAAGCAGCCTCCCAGCAGGGAGATGATTTTTATTATCCGCCAAGATGTTTATAATAAAAAAAATGCAACGGATAATCGCTTCTCTGTGAACTTCCGGAAAGAAACCAAAAGCATCAGCCTCAGGATCTCGGACTCCCAGCTGGAGGACACTGCGATGTATTTCTGTGCTCTCAGTGGGGGCACAGTGAGAGAAGAGACAGGGAGAGGCTTACAGAAACCTCAGACCTGGCGCCGGTGTCAGGGGGACGGGAAGTGGTTGGGGTAACAGGAACATAGAAAAGCATTGCCTTTTTTGTCAATTAAAACTCCTTACAACTTAATATAAGACACATGGAGAGATGGATGTCTGCAAGCTGGAATCCTTAAAACAGTAAGAATAATGTTATGTGTAGTGCCTTCCTGTTTTAAAAATGGTCCTCACACATACCGTTACATGTCACACTCATACTTCGTGTGGTATGTGTGATAGATTAGATTTCTTTAGCATTCTCTTTATCCAGAAAATCTTTATAATTTGCGTGGGAGCTCATACATTAAGAATCCTAACTTTTCCACCTTTTTAATGTAAGCTTTTTTAAAAATACATTTTTTTTGGTTTTGTTTTATTTTTATATCTGTCTTCAAAACGGAATCTCCTCAGAACAAAGTATCCATTTGAGAACACGGCAGGTGTGACAGTGTAGACATAACAAAGGAGGGATCCACTGGATCAACCATGACCCTGAAAGATAACCTATGTCTGTGGTACCTGGGTCAGAGATCTAGAGGACATGATGGGATGGCCTGTAAAAGGCTCAGCTAAGAAGCCACTCGGGGCAAAACTCTCAGTGATTGGGATGACATTCTCTTAGAACCAGTAATATTAATTAAAACAATGGCAGATTTGTGGATATGTTTAGCATCTTACCTAAACTACACAAATGTGGAAACTAAGAAATGGGTGTGGAATAGACTCATTTCATCACTCCTATAACCATTTCAGAATTTGTCGTTCTTTTTTCACAACCTTAGGCTCTGCTGGATTAGAGGTGTCGCTCTGCCAGAGTATTCAGTAAGGGTTCCACTGAAACTACACCTGGTCACTTTGAACTCCTTATGCCAACAGTCCAGCAGGCAAAGAAAGGAGTTATTAGCCTTGGAGGCTAATTGACTCTGATTGTCATGAAGCACCAGGTTGTTGTTACACCATGAAGCAAGGAGGAATATGTCTGGAATTTCAGTGCTACCTGTTTGTTATTTCCATGCCCAATAAAAACAGCAAGTGGCAGTTGTTGCTACAGGCCTGAAAAGGGCAAACTGATCAAGGACTGCATCACTTCAGCAGTGAAGGGTCTAGGTCACACCACCAGGCAAGCAATCTTGGTCTGTTAAAGTGAAATCCAAAAAAATCTGGAAAGTGTGGCAAAACAGAAAGGGGATAATTATCAATTACCGCCTTGGTACCTGTTGAAGAAGTAGGGCCTAAAGCTCATGTCATGCAGTCCTCCTGTATTAAGGGTTTTAAATAAATTGCAGATAGTCACAACCTTGAAGATTCAGTAACATGGTGACAAGCACACAACTCAGTAGGGCAAAGAGCACATGATCCTTGTTGTCACAACCAAATGCCTACCTCTGATTTATTCAATAGCTATAGTAGACAATTCAGTGGAAACTCAGACTCATTCAAGCTGGTAATATCCAACAATAAGCACACACTGTGCAACTTCTTACCTTCTACCAAAGGGCCTTCTCCGACTCTTCAGGAGCTCAATCAGCCCAAGGGCAAGCACAGCCTGAAAGGACAGGGATATTACCAGACCTCCTGGGAAGCACCAAAAAGTGAAGAAAAAGGACCAATAAATTAAATGTACTAGATTTCTGATTTTCAGCTGACAATTCTGAAAGTGATCCTTTACCCTTCTTGGGAGATCCTGGCAGAATCAAACCCCAACCTTGCCCTATGTACATTCTCACTCTTGCTTTCTAAGATATCTTCCTAAATAAATTATCTTAACCTGAGACCTTGCTTCAGGGTCTATTTTGGGAAAACAAAAATAAAACAGAGAGATAACTTGAAAATTGAATAGAGAGCAAACAAACGAGGAGATTCCAACGTGTCGGCAGGCAGGACAGGAGCGACACTGAGAGTGTGTGAGGGTGAACGTGTGTGAGAGAGAGAGAGTGTGTGGGTGCGAGTGTGCCTAGGTGGCTGCCTATTGGTGGGGGAACCCTGCCACGGCAAATTAGGGCACTCTGGGCAGAGGGAGATGCAGCAGCAGAAGCATGCTCCCATCCAGGTGCTTTTCCCTCGCTTTGGATCAGAAAGTGCTCCAGAATAAAGATCCACAGGGTCCTCCCAGAAATGAAGCAGCAGGGAAATGCAGAGTCTCAGTGTCCTAAGACACAGATAGACAATTCCAGCACCAAGGCCTCTCCACTGGTAGCCGAGGGGCCTGTTGCCACCAAGGGTCACACCAGGAGCAGAGGGGTCTGCCCACCCTAAGAGTCCCGCCAGCAGCATGGTACCCCACAGCCACCAAGGACCCGTCAGCACCAGAGGGACCCACAATCCCTGTGACCCACCAATAGCAGAAGGGCCAGCCACTCTTGCAGGTCCCACCAGGAGCAGAGGACCCCACTGCCCCTGAGGACACATGAAAAGCAGAAGAGACCACTACACAATGGGACCTGCCAAATGCCCTGGGCCCAACAGCCCCCAAGGGACTCATCAAAGCAGAGAGCCTCTGTTCTACTTGCTCCATTGCAGCAAAGAGCCTTTGGCCCCACTGTCATGGCTGAGAGCCACTAGTACCCCCAGACCACTGAACCAGATCTCTGATTCAGGGCATATGAGGTGTCCTTATCCGATGCCCCAGGACAAACAACCTGCTCCCATGACACAGCCTGCCCTACCTGGCCCCAGAACAGCAGACCAATAAAATGGTGAGACAATGGATCAACATCCAAATGAAGGAAAAGGAAGAATTGACAGTAAAATAAATAAATGAAATGGAGGCAAGCAATTTATCAGATACACAGTTCAAAGAAATGATTATAAGGGTGCTCAAACAACTTAGTGAGAATTACAAGCAACTCAATGAGAATTATAAAGAACTCAGTGAAAACTACATGGGCATGAAAAAAATAAGTAGAAGCTGTGAACAAATCTCAAGTGGAAATAAAGAATGACATAGCTAAAATTAAAAATACCTTAGACGGATTCAATAAGTAAATTAAAAGAAACTGAAGACTGAATCAACCAGTTAGGAGACAAGGTAGAAACAAACACCTAATTAAAGCAGCAAATGGAAAGGAAAATTAAAAATCAGGAGGAGAGTCTGGCTAGTGTGGCTCAGTGGTTGAGCATTGACCCATGCACCAAGAGGTTGCCAGATCAATTCCTGGTCAGGACTCATGCCCAGGCTGTGAGCGCAGTGAGAGGCATGCAGGAGGTGGCCAATCAATGTTCTCTCTTATTGACATTTCTACCTCTCCCTTTCACTTCCTCTCTCTCTAAAATCAATAAAGAAAAAATATGAATAAAAAAACAGGAGAAGAGTTTAAGGGAGCTTTGGGACAATATTAAATGTAACAACTTTCATATCATAGAGGTACCAGAAGGAGAAGAATCAGAGAAAGGGATAAAGAACCTACTTGAAGAAATAATGATAGACAACTTCTCTAACTTGGTTAAGGAAAAATTCACACAAATACAGTAAGCATAAAGAGTCCCAAATGAGATGAACCTAAAAAGACCCACACCTAAACACATTGTACTTAAAATGGCAAACATTAAAGACAAAGAAAGAACATTAAAGGCAGCAAGAAAGAGTCAGACAGTTACCTACAAAGGAGCTCCCATTAGACTGTCAGCTGATTTCTCAATAGAAACACTATAGGCCAGAAGGGAGTGGCATGAAGTATACAAAGTAATGAAAAGCCAGGGACTGAATCCAAAACTACTTTAGTCAGCGAAGCTATTATTCAAAACTGAAGGGTAAATAAAGAGTTTCACGAGCAATCCTGGACAGTTTGGCTCAGCGGTTAGAGCATAGGCCCGTGGACCAGAGAGTCCTGGGTTTGGTTCCCACTAAAGGCACGTACCTTAGTTACAGTTTGTCCCTGGCCCTGGTTGGGGTTATGTGGGTGGCAACCACTCAATGTGTCTCTCTCACATTGATGTTTCTCTCTCTCTCTTCCTCCCTCTCTTCCTCCCACTCTATCTGAAGATAAATGCAAAAATGTCCTCAGGTGAGGATAAAAAAAAATAGTTTCATGAACAAAATAAAAAGGCTAAAGTGTTTACTACCACCAAACCAGCACTACAAGACATGCTAAAGAGACTGTTGTAAAACAAAGAAGAAATAGAAAGAGAGAGGAACACAGGTATAAAGAATTAAAATGGTGAAAAGTAGGTACCTATCAATAATAACCTTAAATGTAAATGGCTTAAATGCTCCAATCAAAAGACATAGGTAGGTGAATGGATAAGAAAACATGACACATATATATGCTGTGTACAACAGACCCACTTCAGAACAAAAGATTCATACAGGATGAAAGTGAAGGGATGGAAAGAAATTTTCTATGTTAATGGAAAAGAAAAAAAGCAGAGATAGCAATACCCATATCTGATAAAAAATATATATATACTTCAAAATGACGGACATAATAAGAGACAAGAAAGTCATTACATGATTTTAAAGGGATTGATCCAACAAGAAACTATAACATTGGTAAACATATATGTACCCAATATAATAGTCTCAAAATATATCAAAAACCTTCTATAGGACTTCAAGGGAGAGATACACAGCAATACAAACTTAGCAGGGGACTTTTAACACCCCGCTGACATCACTGGATAGATCTTCTAGAAAAAAAATTAACAAGAAAACAGAGACCCTAAACAATGCACTAGATCAGATGGATCTAATTGATATTTAGAGAACATTTCATCCCAAAGCTGCAGAATATACATTCTTCCTAAGTGCACATGGGACATTCTCAAAGATAGACCATATGTTAGGACACAGACTAAGTTTCTCTAAGTTCAAGACTGAAATCATATCAAGCATCTTCTTGGATCACAATGGCATGAAATTAGATATCAATTACAATAAAAACACTCAAAAACATTCAAACACATGGAGTTGAATGGCATGTGATTAAATGATGAATGGGTTACCAATGAGATCAAGAAAGAAATAAAAAACTTCTGGAGCCCTGGCCAGTTTAGCTCAGTGGTTAGAATATCAGCCTGCAGATCAATGAGTCATGGTCAAAGGCACATATCTTGGTTGAGGTTCATCCTGGGCAGGGGCCAGGGTTATGCGGGAGGAAGCTAGTCAATGTGTCTCTCTCACATTGATGTCTCTCTCTCTCTCTCTCTCTCTCTCACACACACACACACACACACACACACATACACACACACACACACACACACACACACACACACACACATACTCCTTCCCTCCTCCCACTCTATCTGAAGATAAATAGAAAAATATTCTTGGGTAAGGATAAAAAAGAAAACTTCCTGGAAACTAATAAAACTGAACACACACCAACACAAAATCTACAGGACAATCGAAAAGCAGTCCTCAAAAGGAAAGTCATAGCATCATAAGCCAACCTCAAGAAAAAAGAAAAATATCTAATAAATTATCTAACTCTACAACTTAAAAATTCAGAAATAGAAAATCCAAAAGAAAGTAGGAAGAAAAAGACTAATAAAGATCTAAGAAGAAATAAATGACAGAGAGTCTAAAAAAATCAATACAGAAGATCAATGATATCAAAAGTTAGTTCTTTGAAAACATAAACATGATGGATCAACACTTAGCCAGACTCACAAAAAGCAAACAAAGAGGACCCAACTAAATAAAATCAAAAATGAAAGAAGTGGACTAACAACTGACACTGAAGAAATACAAAGGATTGAACAATTATATGATAACAAATTGGATATGTAGGAGAAATGGTCAAATTCCTAGAATCACACACTCTTCCAAAACTGAACCAAAAAGAGTCAGAAAACTTGAACCTGACTAATAATAACTAAGGCAATTGAAGATGTAATCAGTAAACTCTCAGCAAACAAAAGCCTGGGTCCAGACGGCTTTACAGGGAGTTTTACT